TTTCAATTCCTGCTTTTGAATGTACTTTGATACAATTCATCTCACAGACTAGTTAACTAAGTTCCCAAGTTGTTAATGCCTCTATGTATTCTTAACAGGGATTTGAGCTTTAACAATTTAACCGGACGAATCCCACAATCCATGAAAGGTTTAAATTTAACTCACTTGTAAGTGAATGAAATTCGTGTGTTTTTGCTACACAAAAGACAACCGAACTCTTGTTAATGTTATTATTCTATTATTAACTTTCTCTCTCCTCAGGTCCCTGGCAAAAAATAAACTTAATGACACAATCCCTGATTGGGTTGGTGAAGTCAAGACTAGATTGTAAGCTTCTATATTCAAATTCTTAAACTATGTACAGCTATTTTTATCTTCATGCATTGGCTGTCAAGTAAGTCCGAAAGCTTAGTATCTTGATAATTGATCTTTATTTCTTAAACAATGATTGTCCGAAAGCTATAATTTCCTTTAACACCTTTGGGATTAAAGTAAGACCAGTTTAAAGATGTTTATGACTCAAGTTCACTAAGTGGAACTTTAACTTTTGAGATTTCTTAGAATTAGGATCGTTGCTTTTTGAACGTACAATTGATGTCAATCTGGTTGTTTACATGCGGTAGTAAACCTTGCGTGCCCATATGATATATGAAAGAACAACAGCCTAGCAATTAAAAGGAAACTATTTAGGAATTGTTTGGTAGCATCGTAGTTTCTTAAAGCCATTTGTGCACTTGATTAAGACCAAAAGGGCGCTGTTTGAATTCTGAGTTAATTTCAAGCTGATATTTGAGTGTCTTCTTAACTTGAATTATATCAATGCAATGAATAGTTATTGTGATATGAATAATTAATTAATTATATGGAAAATAAAAATCCTTATCTAAGCCAACATCATTTTCTAGGAGCGTATTATGTTCCCACATTATTCCATCAGCTATGAAATTTGACTATATGTCTTTTCAGGGATCTGTCGTACAATAACTTTTCCGAAGTTAGCTTCGTAGTGCCAGACGATAAGCGAGATCATCTGTAAGAATTGGCATTAATTTTCTTTTTCTATTGTTACCAATCTAGTTGCATGTGGAATTATGATGAGATCCTTTTCCTTTCAGGAACTTGTTTGTCTGCTGCCGCAGTTCAACCAATAATCCAGATAAACCATTTGTGTATGTTAATATTTTATCTGTTCTAGTATGTTAATATTTTAAATAAAGCGAGCCATTTCTTACAAATTCGTTGCAGTCATTCA